GTGGGTATGTAAGGCAAATATTCCATTGACCCCATTCTTGAGGAGTCCACACTAACATGAAGGAAGCAAATCATTGCAATGTGGTGTGATAATTTGGTAATACAAAATCAATACAAAGGGAACACAAAATAATGATGGTTTTGTATGAAATAAGATGATGTCTTAAGTAAATTCTAAAAGATGAATCAAAATTTAATGAAAGGGAGTTCGAGGTTAACCTTGAAGTGAATTATGAGGGAGGCTATATAACCCACTCTTTCATCTGATTTGGAAAATAATGGCTTACTTCGTCAGGGAACATTTCATAAAGCCATAGCTGATGGCAATACTCTTTGGCCAAAGGAAAAAGTAAAACTGGTTATACATAAAAGTAACAGAGGTCAGTAAACAAAAGAATCATTTCCAAACAGGACACCAAATTCTGGGCATAGAGATGGAGATCGGGAAATTGATTGAATGAGAGCTTAAATCACTGAGTGAACAGAAAAAGTTGGAAGATATTTCCTGAGAACAAATACTTGGAATAGGCATTTATTTACATGATTAGATTTTATCTTTTCATAAAAATCTGATGTAAGAAATTGTTCAACTTCTTTTTCTATGCATACTTCATATTCCAATAATAGTTTCTAACGAAGTTTAATAAAGTTACCAGAGAATGAAAATACTTAGTTTTATTATTTTGGTTTACATTGAAATGGAAGCTAATGGGTGAGTCTTCTCAAGTCCTTCATGAGAAAAAGTCAAAGTAAACATCACTGATGGAAACAGCCTCAATTCTGTACTCAGCATTACTTTATCTGTGTGTGACTGTAGTTTTTTAAATAAAAACATTTCTTAAAATCCTGAAGCTGTAGATTATGTGCACGTCAACCATCATAGTTTCTAAACCATGGCAAGTGTTAAAAGCTCTCTCTTTTCTGTGTATATGTTGCTGCAGTAGCTAATTTCAGGAGAGGAATTTGCAGTTAAATTTGATGGAGCACACTGCATTTGCTCAATTCCAGTCACAGTCTAATGGTACTGCCAAAAGGCTGCATTAGCATTATAAGACAATGTTCTCCAGACTCAAATAGACGTAGGACAGGCTTCATAATAGAGACTCTTGGGTCACTGAATCTAACAAGAATGTGTCTGTAAGGCTCTATCACAGAAAAATAACTGGATTCAAATATATATATATATGTGTGTGTGTGCATATATATGTGTATATACATATATATATATATATATAAAATCTCCTTAGAGGTTTTACAGGTGACTACTTTGTCTTGAATTCTTATGAAAACAAAACACAAAAAAATTACCGATACTGGGATGTTGATTTCTTTTCTTTCCAAATCAAGCTGAAATTCTTGAAGATTTCAAGAAAGATGACAGCCATTCAGTGTTTGTTAAAGGATATTTAATAAATTTGGGATTAAATTAGATTAAATTGACAGAGTAGTGGTATTCTGGGATATGGATTTCTTTGGAAATCTGATGAAAACTGGAAATCCTCTACCAGAAATAGTACACAACCACATCTATATATTACATTTAGCATATAGTTTCAGGGGGTTCAGCCATTCCCAGAAGGGTATTTTTGGACTTCAGGTTAAAAAAATAAAAAATAAAAAATAAAAACTTCTGTAACTGAGAAATGTTAAGAATGTTTGGTCCATAGATTTCTAAGAACAGAAATAAAGAGGACATATTATTTTACATGGAATAAGTGATGACGTTTCATTCTTTGTATGAATTTACCATGGTAGGCTTCTTCTACAGGAGACCTCCCTTGACTATCTCCTCTAAACATTATCTCTTATCCCTTAACCTTACCCCTAGCAACAACCAGTCACTCTTTATCATATAATTTTTTTATTTTTTCACAGCAATTCATACAATTAGAACTTATTTTTGTTGCAGCCTGTTCCCATTAGAATGTAAGCACATGAACACCTTATTTGTCTGTTAACGGCTATAACCCTAGCATCTAGAATGTCATCTGGGAATACATAATGCAGTAGTATCTGGTTGTAAAGTTGGATAACTACCCACTGGTAATATATATGAATTCATGTTAAGTCAAGAATGATATAGACAAACAGCTGGCTGGAAATGTATTACTGCAGCATGATACGCTTCCATAACATACTTATATGGTCAGTGTTCCTTTCATTCAGCTCATTTCTTTCTCCATTTAAGCATTTTTTTGTCACAAAATATTAATTTTCTTAAAATGCCTCTTTATATCCAATGTTTTCAAGTCTAAATTGTGGTAGGGAATATATATTATGGCACTATTTTAGTCATTTATAAAAATCCGCTGCAAGCTCTTCCAGGCATAATATAACATTGATAGGGATGAAACATGATGCTGAACTGCATAGATGTGTATGGTTTACTTGCAGACTTCTCAGGGCACTAAAATATTCCCGAGAACTTTTCCATGTTCACCATATCGCTTCATATCTTTAACTAGGAATAATTACATTAATACTATGTTTTAAGATTGCCATAGATATAAAATATAAAAGTTATATCCTCTTAGCAATGTACAACTTTATTCTTTTCTTTTATGTCACTTGTAAGTCATATTTAATAATATCTGTAAAACCTATTTGGCACTTGATAAACTGAGCTTCAAAGGGAGTAAGTTTTATGCCAACCAGTTTGACATTTTGGAGACAAGGCAGGCTCCAAACAAGATTAAAATTCCACTAAGCCTGATGGAATAGATCAATCAAAAGAGAAAAACTGCATAACATAATTTGAAGATGTAAGTCAGATAAATCAGCTTGGTAAATTCAGTTGGGGGGAACATTTATTTTTCTGATTGGCTAAATAGTAGAGCAATAGTTTTCTATGCTTTATTCAAGTGATTTTCAAGATTTGCATTCATGGTTTCTTAGAAAAATAATGACAAATTTTTCATGAAGTTGTTTCTTCTTCCATAAGTTAATGCTGTCATTATTTTATTTTCTAATATAAGTTCAACAGTTCAAAAGAACAGATTTTATTAAGTCCCAGACTTTCTCTGAAGCCACTAGTAACGACAAATTGTTGGCTAATAGTTTTATGCTGAGTTTAGTTAACTTTTAGAATGAGAAATGATTCTATAATCTTGATTTCAGTAAGGATACTGCTTGCTGAACTGAATATTTATGACTCTGGGCCTTTCTATAAATAACTGTTTAAAGCTATAAACATTAAGTAATGAAGGCTTTGTTTCATCCTACAGAGTCCGCATACAATTCATGCTCCTTTCCTAGAACACTCGGTAGACTATTTCATAGTAGCTCATCTCACGTTCTACTTATCATCTGATGATGGAGAAAGTGAAGTATACTTCGTTTCTAGATGTCCATTTTTTTTTTAAAGCTTATAAACAACAGAAATGTATTTCGCCCAGTTCTAGAGGTTGGGAAGTCCCAGCTCAAGGTGCCAGTAAATTCTGTGCCTGGCGAGGGCCTTTTTCTGCTTCGTAGGTGATTCCTTCTTGCTGTGTCTTCACATGAGCATCCATCCTTTGATCATGTCATGGGAACTTTATCACATAGAGTACAATAAAGAATATAATCATAACTATTCATCAATTCAACAAGATGACATTTTTGATTGTTTTCCAAATATTATATTTCTATAAAGCTTCGCTTTTACATACTCTGCAATGGTTAAAGTGATCAGATAAGTTTTTAAAATTTTTTGTAAATTATTCTTTAAGGAGAATAACACTAAAGAACTATTACATGTAAAACTTAGCTTAATAGGGAAATAATTGGTTTTATTTTGAAATGAATATAAGCATAATTTTATATAGTTACATTTTAAAAATAATTTTGCTGGTTGAAAAATTCATACACCTAAATTTGGTAATTATTTTAAGATATAAAAACTTGTTTCTTATTAAAAATAAGAAACAATAAAAAATTAACATTATTTTCTGAAGATAATATTTCATCATCAGAGAGAATACTACTGACTACAAAGGTGAAATGACTCCATGAGTATGGAGACACGAGTCAGAGATTCTGAGTTTGTAATGAACCTTAACTAATCATAATTCTATTTATATAACACATCGGCTGTCATTTTTTCTTTTATCTCTACATATTGGAAACATACTGAAATACTACCATTATCTGAACTCGTAGATGTAAGTGTAGGTGCAAATAATAAGCATGTGATTCAAGCGCCACAAATAACACACATACACAATCAGACCATGAACGTATTATTATATGAGTGATGTGAAAGCTTGTTAATGATCTGGCTAATTCAGAAAATATCAGTTACATAGTTCAGTTAGGATTAAGACTTTCTGAGCTTGGATTTCTCCAATGCTTTGATTATGTGCATGATTTAAAAATACTCATTATTTCCCTCAGAAGATTTATTTTATTTGTTGGAGATTTAAAAATCAGTGAATAGAGTAGTTCTTATTTATTTCAGGCACAAAACTGATAATAATTCATTAAGAAAAATGCTTTTAAACTGCAAATGTTTAATAATTATCACATTTTAAAATTCATGTTTCCCCACTTCTAGTGAAAATAATAATATCTGTGTTTGCTCTAGCAGCACATACACTATAAATTGGAAATGGTGATAAAATCTTACTTAGAAAACAATAAAGTGGTTTGCAAGCTTTATACCTCATGAATAAGCTGTAATCAGCCAAATTTTGAATGTATGTGGTACCACATAACATTGTTTTAAACAAACAAGTAGTGATGATACAGATATCTATTAGAGGCTCTCTACTTAAAAATTCATTCTTTTTAAAAATTAAAGTGACTTCCTTTCCTCGTACAAACTCAATATATGGAACACAGACTGATTATTTTTGTGGTGTGTGTGCAATGACAAGTGAATCTCCGAAATTTTCCAACTCCCAGTAGCAAACCAGAGCTTACATCAACTTGTAAGAAAAGAATAAAATATTGCAAAAGGACCCAGAGTAGTCATTAAATCATGCTAACTTTTTGTAGGCAAAAAAAAAGAAATCATTGTTAAACTTTGACAGTTTCAATATTGGGTCATTTAATTCTACAATTTTGACAGTGAGATATTTGAGGATGATGCCTTACTTGTGATATTTGAAATGAATTACACTTACACATTAGGATTTCTTTACATGATGCTTTATCTAAATTGTTACATCCTTATCTTCCAAAGAAAATTGTGGTACTATGTATGTGTGAAACTAAACATTTAAAACAATGTTTTATTATTTATTATAGAATATACTTTTTAAATAGTAAAACCAACCCATATTAGTTGCCATAAAGCTGCCTTAGGGAACTATTGTTTTAATATGTGGAAAATGCAGTCAAACTCAATGAAATGTTTGATATGTAGTTTGATTATATGTTTTGTAGAGTTACTAATGTAAGTATTATTAAAGCTCTTCCCTTTCGATTACATTATTTTCCCACATACAGTGAATCAAGGTAACAAGGGGTTGTTTTCTGAATTGGTTATTTACACTTTTGAAACCACAAAGACAACTCCCAAGTCTCCCCATCATTTTATTTTGCACAAATCTTGCCAATAACTCCTCAAGGCTCATAATCTAAATCTAGAGGACATTACAGAAATTTTTTTTCTAATAGTTTTCAAATGTGCTTATGTACTTTTCAGGGTCCTGACATAAGGAATTTCATTATTGCAAGTTGTATGTAAAATATAAATTAAATGCTAGTACATTTAACTATGAAGAACAAAATTTCTTTAGTATATAAGAAATGAGTAGAGTCAACTCAAATCCAATATTTGGAATCCAGCTGCATCTTGTGCCAAAAACTATATGGGTTGCATTCAGTGGAGTGAGCAGAGTAACTAAGGTGTACGAAAAGAGGTGTTGCATTCAATGTCAGTGGCCCAATAAACTTGGGTTAAAATAAAGACTCTATGTAAGGTATCTGGTTTGGTCTTCATTTTAGTTTATAATGCTTATGTAAAGGGGTAAGCCAAGAAGATTATTCTTGACCACACTTGAAAATGGACTCAATTACTGAGATTAAATTTCAGTGTATTTTATAAAAAATATTACTTTCACAGAAGTGAAGAGATACAATAGCACAATGGTGGTTACAATGGTAGAAATACATACTGCCAATAAAATGTTAGCAAGAGATTTAAAAATGACTGTACAGCACCGCATCAGAGAATTGTGTTAACAACAAAATGATTAATATTGTTTTTCAATATAAATGAAATCCTTACTTTTTTAAAAAGAAATAGATGGGGTAAAAGTGCTTTTTGTTCTTCTAATTCCTACCAAAATATTTCCTGGTATGGAGCAAAAGACAGTAAAAAAATGACAGTTAAAAAAAAAAAAGACATTCATGCATTTAAGCCACCATTAGTCTCTGACTCTAATATAAGGCAGATCATTTATCTCTTGCAAAACTATGACTTTAGCCACTTAAACTCTTTGTTTTAGTGCTTTTCATGACAAGGACATGATAGGCCTTATAAATTTAGAAGTTAAGATGTGTTTCCAACATGGTAAGTTAGACAAGCTCAGCTATTTTTTTGAAACACCAACTTTACAATAAAAATGCTTTGCTTTGGAGAAATGATGAAAAATAATAATGAAGAAAAAAAATGGAAGGGGTCCTATAGAGTTTATCACAAGTTACACTGTTTAGATCAATGAAAACATATCACATTTGCCTATGTGTCATCCTCTGTCTTGATGATATGGAAAAGGGTGACATTGAACAGGACCTGGTGGCCATTGTTCCAGGCATAAAGAGCTCGATCTCTTGCATTGTAGTCAAGCATGGATATGTGAAAGTATTGGTTATGGAAGGGAATGTCTGTGTACTCATATGTGGAGGTTTTGGTGGAATAGGAATAATACACCTTGGCTCCAGTTAAGTGGGAGTTGGTGACATACAGTGTCCCACAGATCATGAAAGATTCCCCTGCACTTCTCTTGGGGTAGCCAGTGCTCCAGCTCTTCATCACCTCCAAGGTATCTTGGTTAAGTTGGCTGATGACAATATTGCCTGCATTCTGGTTAGTTGCATACACAGCCCACAGCCCGATTTCATCAGCCATTAGGTCGATGTCAGAGAATCCACCCCATGTGTAGGGGTAAACATTATGAAAACCAGCATACTCCAGGCTTCGTTGGGCAAGCACTCTCCCCATATCAAAGCTGTATTTGATGATGATATTACTCTGATACTTGTTAAAATAGAGTGAGCCATTGTAGACAACATGGTTAGTTCCTGCCCACTTGAAAGGAAGGTTGTATGTCCTTGATTCAGCCCCACTGACAAAGTCTGCAATTGATTTGTATTCACGAACAATTTTATTGTTAGTATAACTGTCCATGTACCAGACCTGAGAAGAAGGAAAAAAATAAATGGAGTGACTAAATTCTGTACTTTTCTGATAATTCCAAAAGAAAGACAGTGAGAGTCAGCACTTTTTATTATAATTCTCAGGCTCTGGAAGCCACGCTATCTTACTGCTGACTTGCTGCAATGTATTTCAGGCTTTTGTAAAAAATTGCTATGGTCTGTCTATGTGAAAAAGAAATAACTGAATTTACTACCTTGACATCAATTTGCTTTTTTGCTTTTTCTTTCTTTGTTTTTTAAATTCCTGACCATTTGGTGCATATCACTGAGTGAACCAAACATATGTCAATGCAAATTACAACACCTGATAAATAATACAATCAGTGAAAACTACAACAAACATAACCTTCAGCAAATTACATTTATTCTCTCTCTTGCTCTGAAAAAAATGCATCGTCTAGTTTTGCATATTAAACTGAAATAAGTACCATAGAATCTTCTAGAAACACTTGTTTATTGGGCTAGCTTGTAAGTACAACTACATTTTAAAGAAACCATTTTACTAACTTAATAACTAACTTATTTGGAAAGAACCCAAGAGAATCTTAATTTATACTGAGTTCTGTAATATGACATAAATAGAGCTTGGCAAGCTTCTAGTATATTGATTTATATAACACAAACATTGTTAACTTATGAAAATATCCCCCAAAAGTTTCAGTGCTATTGTTTTTAAAATTACTTCTAGACTTCAGGGATATTTAAGCTTATTTAGTAAATTGGTTTTGCCCTTGAGTTTTTCATTTATTTAGTACTATTTTTTTCACACTAAAGAACATACTTTAGAAAGAGTATGCAGGGAAGTTTGCCCTTGAATTTTTCACTTATTTAGTGCTATGTTTTCATACTAAAGAACATATTTTAGAAAGAGTATACAGGAAGTTAGCCCTTCTCAAGCATAAAACATGACTAAAATCAATAAAATTAGATTTACTAAACTGATGAATTAGAAGATGTAATATTTTACTAAAATAGATTTGCCATTCTTTCTTAGATATGTTAATATCAAACAGAAAATATTTGCAAATTATGTAACAGTTTTCAAGTACAAACAAATATCCCTGAAGAAAATGAATAGTCCAGAGGAGAAAAAGTGTAAGCAGAACTTAATTCTAAGCAAAGGTGTTTGTGGGAGAAACATACTCTGTTGTTTTTTTCAGATGCTAAAGGATCTGTCATCCAAGCACCAAATCGGGTTCCAGATGTCTTGACTGTAACTGGGCCTGTGATTTTCATCAATTTGCCACATGCTGAAATTAGAGAAACACAAACATGTTAGGTGAACAAAGCCAATGATTCCAGTATGCATACTCACACTAAGAGCAAAGAAGGGGATCATAGAACTAAGCCAATCCATGGGATTAATATAACATTGCTGAATAAATGATTATTCACAGTGGGTGCTGGGCCTTTAACCGAACATTGAACCATGAGGAGTTGCTTCTTCAATGCTCCAAATTTTAAACATAAAATTTTAAAGTGGGAAATGATTTGTACAATCTGTAAAGAAATAAATGAGGGACATCATTATCATTATACCAATTCAGTGGCAGCTTCTCTTAAGTAAAAAGTTAGAAAAATGAAGCAAATTGCCCATGGATCTGTTTAATTGATGGCTAGAAACTCCTGCCCTTCCCCTGTCCCTATGCTTTGTGACTATGGATAACTTATGCCAGCCAGAAAAACACTACCAATTGATTTTCATTCTATATTGGCAAAGAAGCAGTCCCCAAGAAGGTAACTTTACAGGCTATAAGAATAAAAAATTCAACCACAGTCTATAAGAAAGATGTAGAGCTTTTAAAGGTAAATGCCTTATACAGATAACAGGTCTGATAGGGCAGATATGAACACACACAGAACAAAACCCCCAAAACTCAAACCCTCAGACCCTGAAGTCACATGTAGATGAAAGATGAGGAGGCCGGGCACGGTGGCTCACGCCTGTAATCCCAGCACTTTGGGAGGCCGAGGCAGGTGGATCACGGGGTCAGGAGATCGAGACCACAGTGAAACCCCGTCTCTACTAAAAATACAAAAAAATTAGCCAGGCGTGGTGGTGGGCGCCTGTAGTCCCAGCTACTCGGGAGGCTGAGGCAGGAGAATGGCGTGAACCCGGGAGGCGGAGCTTGCAGTGAGCCGAGATCGCGCCACTGCACTCCAGCCTGGGCAACAGAGCAAGACTCCCTCTCGGGGGAAAAAAAAAAAAAAAAGAAAGATGAAGAGATGTAATACGTGACAAAAAATTAATGATTTTCATGAAAAAAAGTTGTAATATTTTTATCAACCCAGCCTGGCTGTGAATAAGATCTTAGAAATAGCTTGGACTTCATAAATGCCAAAGCCAAAACCAAACAGAAAGCTACATATTTTTGTGAGATTAAAAAAAAAGATTACTATAAAGTTTTAACCATATTATAAAATAATGTTTTTGTCCCTTTATCTGGATTATATTAGTTTGGGTCACTTATTATGCTTATCTTTCTATTTATTTTAAATTCAACTTTTATTTTAGGGGTACATGTGCAGGTTTGTTACACAGGTATTTTGTACCCAGGTAGTAAGCATAGCACCCAATATATAGTTTTATGAGATTTTTAAACAGCAAAATTTAAAAGTGATTTATTAATTATACACATTGTGAAAGGCAATATGACTGCCTATAAATGTTGGATTTTGGTGTAAACAAAAAAGTCTTCTTTCTCATCCATTTATATCATGTTATTTTCTTCTATTTCTTTCTTTTTTAAAAACTTTTTTGCGTCCTATTTGTTCTACATATCTTCTTTCCTCCTCTGACTATTTAGAATTGATCAATTTCTATTAGTTCTTGTTGGTCCTTGTTTGTTTGGAAAGACAAGAATACCCAAAGCAAATCAAAGACAAACTAATTATAACTTGAAACTTATTTTGGCTCAGTTTTCTCTATATGTACTTCTTATAAGAATAATTTATAATTGGCAGAATACTAAGCTTTGCAGTTAGGAAGATGATGAATGGTAACATATTTTGCATTATTAGTTCAGTGATAACTACAAATTTAGTAATCTCTAGCATTTCATAAAACCTGAATTGAATATATTTTTCCCTTTATGTAAAAGAAATCAAATGTGATAGTATCGTTATATCCATAGAGTGGGTTACTTTATGATTTCCTCAAATCAGTATAACTAGACCAATAATTCAGAAGACTTTATGACATTATCTATAGAATACCAAGACCTTGCATTAAGTCTATTTAGACTATATAAGCTCTACCTGCTATAAACACACAAACAATATATGAGTAAAGTAGTATCAGTTTGAACTAGAAAATGTTAATCATATTCTGAACAGATCTAGTTGAGTATATTTTCTGAATGCAGAATAAGTGGGAGTAATACTATTTTTAATAATGTCCCATATACATTTGTTAATCCACAGATGATATGAGCATAACAATTTCAAGTGTAAGTAGAGTGTAACAAATAGAAGGGCCTCTCTTTCCCCTAAAAACATCATAAAAGATGTGATTTTTTTTTTCTAAGCATAGAAAAGCAATTCTGACTTAAGATGATGAAGTGATACATGATTTTATCTGCTTTCATTTTCTATGATCTCATTAAAATGATGGTAAAGGAATAAACCATGAGTGGAAAAAAAAAAAACAAAAACAAAAGGAAAAAGAAAAGAAAAGGTATAAGAGCCATTAGTGAAGAAGTTTGAACCAATTTCCAGAACGCAGGGTTGATGAAGAGTGGTCATTAAAGATGAAGATGGAATAAGATGCATTTGTGTCTAAGCAGAGCAAGTGAGACCCAAGGAGGGAGATGATCTGCCTTGAAGAGAAAAAAGAAAGGACTCAGAAATATAAGTAGAAAGAATGCTAGGAGTCAGATGGGACTCTGAAAACAGGTACACCACTTAAATCATGCATTAAAAGCAATTGATTCCATCTTCATCTGTAGATGCAGAACTCCAGAAGGCAAAGGAAAAAAAATATGAAACTATGTTGGTGATCTGAGAGTACTTAGGGTGACTAATAAAGACATTGGAGGGCCAGAACAAAGGCTTCTACACAATGACATTGGTGGTTTCCCTTCCTACTGACCATAGAAAGAATTGTCAAGCCCTATATTAATAATAAGAGTTTCCAAGCAGATTTATTGTTCAAAAATTTAAAAATATATGCATATCCAAGGATGGCCAGATAGTTTCAAAAAGTTTGTAAGAATGACTGATGTAAATGTTCAGAAAAACCAGGGCTCCCCACAGAAGAGATGACTCAGAATAAACAAGATCCTAGTACCTTCTAAGAGATTTGTATAATATATACTGTGTATTGTAAAAGGAAAACACAAAAGAACTATTAGAAAACAAAAATATAATTATATTAAAAATAGGTTACAAGATAAAAAGAGTTATCCTCAAAATAAAGCAAAAAAGATAAAAATGAAAATAAGAGAAAAAATATGGACACATCTCGGATCAATCTAGAAGCTCCAACATCCGGAGAGCAAGGTTTCTAGAATGAAAGGAGAGAGAAAAAGAGGGGAGAAAATTATCAAAGAAATTATACAGGAAATCTCCCCAGTAACAAAACCTAAATATTCAGATTAAAAGAACACATGATAATGAATGAAAAAAAGATCTACTTCTAAAAAAACTACTTAATCTTGTGAAATGTTACAAGATTAAGAGTAAATTGAAATGGAAACTTTTTAGAGAAAGAATATGAGCTTGTCACATGCAAACAGGTAGAATTAGACCAGAATTGGGCTTCTCATCACCAATACTGGATGCTAGGAGACAATGATGAGGGCCTTTATATTTAGGAAGAAAATCAGAAGAAAACAGAATAAAGATATTTTTTGACATGTGCACTTTCCAAAAATTTACCTACAATGAACTCTTTCTTCATAAATTACTTGGGTATATATTGCAGTGAGTACACCAAGACAGGTGAAGGCACCAGACAGGAAAATAGTGATTTCCTGTCCCAGAATGGCAACTATGCAGTGGACCTTGAGAACAACCAGCCCAGAATGGAAACACAGTTCCAAGAGGGAGGTCTCAGAAGTAAGTGGAATTGATACATAGATAGACTGTATGAGATCTTCTAGAAAAACTGGGTAATGCAAAGGCAATTATTGATGTATACAAAATAATTCACTTGAATTTAACTCTAGTAATAGTCTCCACTGAATGGAACAAATATGACCTTGGGGGTAAAGAGGAAGGAAATGTATCTCAGTTCAACACTTAGCTCCCACGGAACAATACAAACATTGCTATAATAATCTAAACACTCATGTCTAACTTGTAGAATCAGTCCATAAACTAATTACATAAAACTTGTTAGACATCTCATCTGCTCTGTGATTACAGGAAAGCCAAAATGTTTCCAACCATGACAACATGGAAGAATAGGTAAAGTCCACGTTGTTAGGGAATTAAGCATTGGGAGAGGAAATGGAAAGAAAGATGGGGGTGTAACTGTCTTCATATTTAAAAAATATGGTGGTAAGAGATTTTTCCTATTGTTGAAAAATAATGAAAATTTAAATCTAAGACTTGAAATTATAAAATTGATAGGGTCGAAGTGTGAATAGTCATGAAATCATATTCGGAAGAAACACGAAAGAAAGCGGAGTTGGCAAAGTTATCTAAATCCTTATCTTGAAGAGCAGGAAGTCAATAAACAAGGTCTAAAACTGTAAACCAAAATAATTGAAGAAAAAAAGCATGTTATTAAAAATATAGACATAATCACTAATAGCCCTAAAATTAAACTGTAAAATGTGGTTGAAACTGGGGAGCAGAGCTAAAGAAGGAGACTGTTGCTTTTTATTCTAAGCATACAATTTTCCAGCTATGTGCATACAATATTTAGGTTATAATGTAAAAAGTTAAAATAGCTACAAAAATTTAGTAGCCTTTAATTTTATAAAGCAAAAATCACATTTATATATTGCCTTTTGAAAAATCATTTCCAGGTTTAATATGCCATGCTTCCTTGGGGCCAGGAAGTAGATGAAAATGGAAGATGTAAATAGTTTGCAGAAATTTAAACTGTGAATGTTCTGCATTTTAATTTGGTCTTCATCCTGCAAGGAATAGATTGAAACTCTGTTCTTTAAACTTTTAGCTCTTACAATTGACATGGCAATCTTTTGCTCTTTAATTCTTTCAACCTTAAAAAAATAGAATTTATATTATGAATTGTGATAATATTTATCACTTAATACATCAAAGCTAATAAAATTTACAG